TTTTTGGGCTATTGCATGAGCTTCATTTTTGTGCATTGCAAGCCATCATTTTAGTCCATTTTGCCACTGTTTTGGGTCTGCATAGGGACTATTTGGTGTTGGTTTGGTCATTTGAGCATCGCTTTGCATACCTCTAGTGTAATGCACTTCACTAGTTTTGGTAATTGTGCCATCCAACACGCATCGGGTGAATTGTTTGCATGATTCGGGACCATCTTGCATGTCATTTCAGAGCTAGAACATGTGTCATTGTAAGCCATATTTCATCCTTTTCACGCTTTGGTAGAGTTGCACTTTGTTCCTTAGCTTTGGTCCCTTGCATTCGTGCATGCTTGCATGTACCTTGTTGCCTCATTTTCATCATAATGGCCACTGATTTTGGTGTGGCCGAGACCCATCCATCTTGGTTTAAGTCCATCTTGCATTGTGTATGCCCTATAGTCCATGTTATCGCATGTTTGATCATTGCATTGCGTATGCCTCGTTCATAACATTACGTATGTTAGTGCATTGTGTATGCATGCCATATAATCCATGTGCATTGTGTATGCCATTTGCATGCTTGCACGTCATTCCGTGCATCTTCGCATCACTTAGTTTCATTGCATTTAGATCGCATGCTGGATTTGCATTTGTCCATACATTGTTTGTTGTATTGTGTTTGGAGTAGGGTTTAGTCCAAGCACGGGAAACGAGGGACGTTTCATACTCAAAGTAACGAAACGTTCCTCGATTCTTGGTCACCAACACTCTTGACTATCCATGATAGAGTTGTTGGCTTTAGGTGTTTACATGTGCATTCATTTCACATTGAGTTGTGCAATTCGACTCCTCGGCCACCATGCATCGGATGCGTGATTGATGGCATGAGGATCGAGGACTACACTCCCTACAGCTTATGCAATGACAGGGAGAGTGGTTGGGCACACATATGTTGAAAATACTTTGCCTTCTCTCTTTCTTGCCTTTGTTGCAGAAAATGTAGAAACCAGGAGAAGAAACTGGTCGGCCGACCAGGTTTTCTGGCAAGCCAACTACCTTTTCTGGTTTTCACCACCAAGAGTGGTTGGTAGGTGGTCTCCAATGCCTATAGCTGGTCGGTAGCCTTCCCCTAGATTCCCAGGGTGGAGTTTCATCTCCTTGGAGCTTTGCGTAAGTTTCTGAGTTCAATTGCAAACCAAGGCGAGTTGAGACATCGCGATGGATTTCCCAACAAGGCGACTCCAGCATGCGTGCATCCTTTATCATTCGGAATTGAGCTGAGGCAGTCCATTTCATGTAGCTTGCATGCTAATTTGTTTGCTTCCTTAGTTTAATTTGTTAATTAATTAATGTTGTGTAATATTTAGTTGTAATTCGTTATTCATTTCGGTTGTGTAATAACTAGTTTAATTAGCTTAGATTAGCTAGTTGGTTCTGTATTATTTATTCGGACCCTTCGCGAGAGGGCAAACTTTGTAATAAGTATGCATGTGTGTGATGCATGTCTTCCAACCCCACGTCTTTCTCCCTTTTATTTACCAGCTTATGATGGTTAGTTTTAGGGCATGTTTCAATTAGCATCTATATGTTCGCCTGTTTGCATTCATTCATACGTATTGCATGCACCGGGCTCTGCACATCATACTAACTGCATTGTATTTCAATTCCGAGTTGAATATGTGTTACCTGTAGCATCTCACATGCCATCTTAGAATAGCCGAGCCTATTGTAGTTGCATTTTTGCATGTGTTGCATTAGGCATTCTTAGCGTAGTTAGGATTCATGCATGATTTCTAATTAGCTTCTTTCTTTAGCTCGGAGTACTCGGTGATAGCATGCTTACCATGAGGCTATGTGCTTAGGTGATATAACTGCCTGAATGCCTGTGGGTGAAGGTTGGGTTGCTTGAGTTGGAATAATTCGTCAAAACCCGTGTTTTAGCCTACTTGCGAGTAGCAAACTTGAATCCATTTTCAAAACAAACGGATATGCGATGCTTTGTTCCAACTTAGGCAATCCCGTCTATACTTGTATGTTGTGCGCATCCCATAGTAATTCTAGGCTAATAAACCAGAATAAGAGCACATGTGTTTTCAAAAACTCGATATCATGTTCAGTAGTGGCCGATCTTTGATCGGGCGAGCGGGGGTGCTCATTGCATGACCTTCCCCAATCGTACCCATGTTCCCGAGCTGAGGCAACTTTAGGGATGACGGACACGTGGCCTTAGGCACGAGTCAGGGTTTCCTAAATTCCCCCAAAATAAAATATTTGGGTGGCGACTCTGTATCTGGCAAAATAGTCCATGTTTGACACTTCTTTCTAAAAATCAATTTTTCAAAACGATTTGCCAGATTTGGACTCTTTGGTGATTTATCAGTCTCGCATTACACTTTACGAGATCAGATTAAGAACCGTGACATTTGAGTCCAAGCTGTAGTGAGCCCAATGAACAAAACGAGATTTTTCCCGGGGACGTCTACAGGTTCAGGTTCAAACAGGTTCAAAGGGTCATGCCACATGGGTCGCCCAATTTCTAACAGAGGTTAGTGATCATTGTAAAAATATAATAAAGTCAAAACAAGAAAGGAAAAGAAGAAATTTGAATATATAGAGCTTTGATTAAGGTATTTGTGTCTCCTTAGGAAATCTATACAACCTTTAGGTCGTACATCTCCACAAGCTTTATTTTATATATATGAGTGAGTTGTGTTTTATTATTATCAATGTTCGTCATGCTTGCTGGCGTCCATAAATCTATTAAAAGTTCCTAATCGGAACTGAATTCTCTTAGGCCTTGTTTGATTAACAGGATTAATAGTAAAATGATTAATAATCCTATGAATTAGTGTAAAATTAGTGAGGTAACCATTTATTATGTATTCATTTTATTTTATTTTTCTTTCATACTCGACATTATGATCCCCAGCCCCTCTCAATGTTAAAAAATCGTTGATTTCGTCGAATTAAATGTCTATCATACATGTAATTTGATTAAGAAAATTCACAATCAAACATAAGATTATGAGTCTATGGATTGACAATTTCAATCCTATGCTATAATCCTACTAATCAAAGATGCGCTTATAGTTTCAAGGGAGATGAGGGTTGTCAAGGAGGAAGAGGGCGTCACCAATGGAGAAAACGTTTGCTGTAGGGTATGGGAATTAGGGGAGGGTGACTGAAGAAGGAGCTACTAGAGGAAGGTTGTAGGAGTGGGGGTCCAAAGGGCAGAGTTAGAATAATGGTGGGTGCTCATTAGTCAACTTCCAATATTTTCCGTATAAAAAGATGACTAAAAAAAGCCAAATTGTATATTATTTTTTGCTCCTTGACCTTTTCCTGTCAATAATAATAACAATAATAACAATAATACATTAATAATTTAATTCCACATTAAACATCACTGCTAAAAGGATACAAAAGAAATATCATTTTGCCCTCCAAACTTTCACGCATTTTTCAAGATTTCAATTAATATCAATTTTGAGCTACTAGAGGAAGGTTGTAGGAGTGGGGGTCCAAAGGGCAGAGTTAGAATAATGGTGGGTGCTCATTAGTCAACTTCCAATATTTTCCGTATAAAAAGATGACTAAAAAAAGCCAAATTGTATATTATTTTTTGCTCCTTGACCTTCTGTCAATAATAATAATAATAATAATAACAATAATACATTAATAATTTAATTCCACATTAACCATCACTGCTAAAAGGATACAAAAGAAATATCATTTTGCCCTCCAAACTTTCACGCATTTTTCAATTTGACCCCCAGATTTCGATTAATATCAATTTTACACCCAGACTTTCGAAATTTTGATAAATTTGACTCCTGCCGTCACATTCCGTCTACAATTGGACGGAATATGCTGACGTGGCACCAAAGTTCATTTAAAATTTCATTTACCCCCTAAACTATACCTTAAAAATCAATTTGTCCCCCAAGCTATACCTTAAAAATCAATTTCCCTCCCTCCCCAAAACTATACCTTAAAAATCACGTCCGAACATTCTGTCTAATTATTGACAAAATGTGATGACGGGCCAAATTGATCAAAATTTTGAAAATTTCGATGTAAAATTGATATTAATCGAAGTTTGGAGGTCAAATCAAAAAATGCGTGAAAGTTTGGGAGGCGAAATGATATTTTTCCCAAGGATACAACACAAATCATATGGCAAAACATTGAAGTCAATGTCTCAAAAAGAGAGCAAAGAGAAATTTGATTGACTAATATCGTTTCAACCAGAGAGCACTTTGTCTTTCTCATCTTTGAACATCACCAGAGATTTCAATCCATTGTAACTGCCACATTCTTTGATATATATATATATATATCCCCCAAAACTCTCGATATGTCAGGTGTAGACGGTGAGGATGCGATTTCAAGTGTTGTGATTGAATCAGAGGCTTCTTGCCATTGCTTTTCACTGGTTGAGATAGAATTAACAATGAACAACTTTAATGAAGAATTAGTTCTTGGGGTTGGTGGATTTGGTAAGGTATATAAAGGGTTCGTCGGCAAGTCGTCTGTGTGCTACATTGACCGTGACCTAGAATAACTCCTGTTTCAATCAAAGACCACTCCTTGTTTCTTTCTCATCTCTAAAAAAGCTCATCTTTTTTTTATCATCTTCTAGTGTTACTAGTATATTCTTTCAAATATTTAGGCTCCCAAATATCAAAGATGTGTCTGGTTTAAGTGCTGATAATGCAATTTCAAGCGTTGTGATTGAATCTGAGTACTCATGCTGTTGCTTTTCACTAGCTGAGATACAATCAATGACAGACAATTTTAATGAAGAATTAGTTATTAGGATTGGCGGATTTGGTAAGGGGTTCATCGACAACGGTGCTACGACTGTTGCCATAAAGCGGTTGAACGCAGAGTCCAATCAAGGAGCAGAGGAGTTCTAGAATGAGGTCAAGATGTTGTCTAAGCTCCAACACACTCATCTTGTTGCTCTAATCGGCCAATGCAGTGACTACCAATAAATGATCCTTGTTTATGAATATATGGCTCATGGGACCCTAGCCAATCATCACTATAAAAGAAGTAGAACCCCAACTAAAATTAGTACTTTTCATCTCACATGGAACCGAAGGCTCAACATTTGCATCGGTGCGGCACGAAGGTTAGACTACCTTCATATTGGTACCGATCAAAGTTTTATACACCGAGATTTCAAGACCATAAACATTCTATTGGAGGAGAATTTGGTAGCCAAGATTTTAGATTTTAGGCTGTCCGAAGGCACTACAAGCAATTCAACAACCCACGTTAGTACGAGAGTCAAAGGTACATTGGGTATTTAGATCCAGATTATTTCTATACCCACAGACCAACCAAGAAATCTGATGTGTATGCCTTTGGTGTGGTGTTGTTGGAAGTGCTCTGTGGGAGGCCGCTTGTGGATAAAAGACTCGAGGAGGAGGAAATTAGTTTAATCCTTTGGGCTCAACAATGCATTAAAAAGGGAAATGTTGATCGAATCATTGATCCCTCATTAAGTGGACAAATAACACCATAGCGTCTAAAGTACTTCGTAGAAGATGCCTACAATTGTTTACATAATCGTCCAAAGGAAAGGCCTACAATGGCTGAAGTGGTGGGGACTCTTGATCTTGCATTGTTGTCACAACATAAAGGATGATCAAAGGGAATAATTGGAAAGGTGCTTCAGGGTATTGCAGCTGTGCCTAAAGGTATGAGTCGTTGGTGGAGGGAGTGAAAGGACAATGGTTTTAAGAGTGGGCCATCAAATGATTCATTTTGGGAACAAATTCCAAATAGTGTCACCTGACAACTCCGTCGCTTCTCACTAGCTGATATTCGAGCAGCCACAAATGATTTCAGTGACGATCGTTTAATTGGAGAAGGCCAGCTTTGCAAGGTGTACAATGGGTTTTCGGATGGGGAAACTGATATTGTTGCAATCAAAAGGTTCAAGAAGTTGAAATCATTGCAACACTGGAAAGAAGCTAGGGTTGAGATTGAGGTATGCTTCATACTCGACAGTCACCCCCACGTAGTCTCTTCAATTGGATTCTACAACGAAATACCAGAGTGAATTGGCATGTATAATTACACGATAAATGGATCATTGGAAGATCATTTATTCAAAATAAACAACGATCCACTTTCATGGAAAGAGCGACTCAAGATTTGCATTGGTGTAGCATGAGGACTACAACATCTCCATTCAAGTGTGAAGCATGGAGTTATCCACTACAACATAAAGCCAGCCAATATTCTATTGGACTAGAATTAGGTTGCCAAGGTTACTATTTGTGCAATCTCTAAACTAATACCCAATGACATTGCACATGAATCATTAACAATTCAAGGATTTGTGGCACTTATGGATATTTGGCACCAGAGTATATTCTACATGGAGAACTGACAAAAAAAATCCAATGTGCACTCGTTTGGTATGGTGTTGTTGGTATTATTGTGTGCCAAGAAGTTACATACTTCTAGCCCGAATGAAGGTGAGGAGTCCCTTCACTGTTGGTTCAAAAGTAGCGGCAAAAGACAAACCATGGATCAAGTCATTGATCCATATCTGATTGGGACAATGGCACCAGAATGCTTCAAGGGGTTTTTCAAGATTGCATTGAATTGTATTCTTTATCAAGTAATCCAACGACCCTCGATGGATGTTGTGGTAACAAATCTCTAGTTAGCATTGCAATCATAGGAGACTTGGGAGACTCGTATTGAGGTTGGTGTTGAGTTACCTATGACCGAACCTAGTTCTTACAATGTCTTCTCTATTGATGGACTGAGCCATCTTCCTTTGGATATTGATGATGTTCTAACTTTAAATTCTGATGTAATATGGAGAGGATCAATGTTTGACTCGTGTTTTGATTAGTATATGCATCTTTGTAAGAGAGCATGAATTTGGTTCTTTTCACTTGTGTATATGTATGTCTTTGTTTCTTATGTGTGTTTAGGGTCTTTTTTATATTTGTTAAGTTTATTTATACTGGTGGATTTATGTTGGACAATTTTTTCATACTTGAATGTTTTGATGAGCTAAAAATGTCAGCATCAACGGCACTGATAAATTGATAATCATTAAAGAGAAGAAACAACCATAATTTTATGGACATCATATTTTCTCCTAAAAGATAAATAAATAAATAAACAATGTACCAATAAAATCTACCTACAAAATTCTTGAAACTATACACACTTTGGAAAGATACATACGGTATGCATAAAGTGATTCACTACAAATTCACCACAAAAACTTCATAACCAATGCCATTTCAGCTCATAATAAAACATCACAAAGCCTCCTAATCAAAATCACTTCAATTCACAACCAAATACCACAAAGCCTCATAACCAACCACACCTTGAAAACTACATTTGCAATCAACAATTAATCTTACTTACAAAACTCTTAATCAACGCAATATAAATAAATGAAGTAGAAGTCCCCCCCTCCCCCCTATTTTTCATTGTTCTTCATAAATTTTTCTACAAATTCAAAAGTCAAACACAACCTAAAAATATTTCGCAACAAAAAACTTGCTTTTTTTTTAGGCATTATTATAGTAACTAAAAAGTAAGGCCAGAAGGTTGGTAAAATTGTGGTCCATCTGCATCTAGTGTGGCTTCCACTATCATACTTTTAACAAGTTTGGATTCTCCATTTCCATTATAAGTGCTTCGTAGTGGGAAGGAACAAAGTAAATCCATAGAAGCCATGGAAATAAGCCCTACCATTATACCTCCCCATCTCTACTTTCTTTTACTCCTTTGCCTTCTTTGTCTTGATGTTTCTCTCTTTATGACCAGTGATGCAATTGTACAATGCAATGGATCGATAGCAGTATGTAATTTCGACTTGGAGATGGTGATGGAGTCAGCGGTAAGCCGAAGGTTTATGGAGACGAAGAAGTACACATCACCAGGAGCTTTAAAGAGAGATCAATCAGTGTGCAATGGTGGTGGAAGTGGTGAAGCTTACAGTAAGACTAGAGGTTGTCTTCCACCACAATCTAACCCTTATGATAGAGGTTGCTCCCGATATTATCGTTGTAGGGGTGATTCATAATCCACCAAGGTTGGCCTTGTGCATAAGCGCACAAAATCACTACAAAATCACTACTAAAAGTGCCAATTTTTTACTCTTAAATGGAATAAAATTATCCTTTTAATCATCATTCAAATGAGGGTTTATATTCAAGTCCAATACCCAAAGAGCCATTTCATTTACATTTAGCAAGAAAAGAATGGAATCTAAAATTCAAGATTGAACAGATTATACATGTTATTCATTGAAAGTGATATATAAATGAGTTTTTTTTTTTTTTTGAACAAATATATAGATAAGTTTCATAGTAATTTTTCACTGGATCTAGTTCGTTATTATTATGACTTTGGATTTTGTTTTTGTCTTTTTTTTTTCCTCGTTATAAACTAGATTTTGCTAAACTATGAAACAAGACCAGATTTTATCTTTTTGAGTTCTTATGATGATTTCTTCAGATCTTAATGTACGGAAGCAAATTTTAGCATACAATTTACGTAATTATGTATACAAGTAAATTTTATGTGGATGTGAGTACTTGTTATTTACTCACAATTTTTTCAATTTTTTTTTTTATTATTTATGAATATGTATGAAGAATCCACCGTAAAAGTTTGCTTAGGAACCAAAAAGCTCATGCTGGCACTACCCATGTTGCATCCCACTTTTTGATCAAGTTGACATTTTGACATTAGTTGATCTCAGTTTTCATATCAAGTAAATGGACAGAAGGTTCATACCATGTAACTCAACTTTTGGAAAACATTTGATGAATAATAAGTATTTTGAAAGTTGTGAGACCTTCATACAAAATCAAACTAAATCTAAATCAAATTAGTCTTATGTTCCAATCAAGTAGGATCGACTACATAAATCTTCTTTAATAGGGATTTTTGTGTTGATTGTTAGGTTACTTAACAATTTAGTTGTATTCTCAGGTTGCTTGGTAGATTAAATCAGTGAAAAGGAAGTTTAGCAAGAAAAGAATGGAATCTAAAATTCAAGATTGAACAGATTATACATGTTATTCATAAATGAGTTTTTTTTAATGAGTTTTTTTTTTTTTTTGAACAAATATATAGATAAGTTTCATAGTAATTTTTCACTGGATCTAGTTCGTTATTATTATGACTTTGGATTTTGTTTTTGGCTTTTTTTTTTCCTCGTTATAAACTAGATTTTGCTAAACTATGAAACAAGACCAGATTTTATCTTTTTGAGTTCTTATGATGATTTCTTCAGATCTTAATGTACGGAAGCAAATTTTAGCATACAATTTACGTAATTATGTATACAAGTAAATTTTATGTGGATGTGAGTACTTGTTATTTACTCACAATTTTTTCAATTTTTTTTTTTATTATTTATGAATATGTATGAAGAATCCACCGTAAAAGTTTGCTTAGGAACCAAAAAGCTCATGCTGGCACTACCCATGTTGCATCCCACTTTTTAATCAAGTTGACATTTTGACATTAGTTGATCTCAGTTTTCATATCAAGTAAATGGACAGAAGGTTCATACCATGTAACTCAACTTTTGGAAAACATTTGATAAAACAAAAAAAAATAAATAAATAAAAAAATTAAGTATTTTGAAAGTTGTGAGACCTTCATACAAAGTCAAACTAAATCTAAATCAAATTAAGTCTTATGTTCCAATCAAGTACGACCGACTACAAAAGTCTTCTTTCACCATTTGATTTATCTCATATTAGGATTCGTATCTAATGGGGGATTTTTGTGTTGATTGTTAGGTTACTTAACAATTTAGTTGTACTCTTAGGTTGCTTGGTAGATTAAATAAGTAAAAAAGAAGATTTTAAATTTAGCATTCTTTTACATCATTTTACTTAATTAGAAGGCCAAAAAAATATGAATAATTAGTGTAACATTTAACCATAAGAACTTATCGAAGGATAGGCCCTAACATAAGTTTGTTAACCCACATTAAAAACTATTTGGGAGATTAAAAGTCTTTTAAAATTATCAACTATCGTCAGATGGCTTCACCCTTATATTTAAGATGTGCAAGGGTGTCAATGGTGTGTTTAGCTATTAGGTAATTTTTTTTTTTTCTTCTTTCAATCTTTTAAAACATCATCTTTCATTCTATGCATCCAATCTCTATAAATTTGATATTTGTGAAATTTATTTATCAAGATCAAACAAATAAGATTCATATTGAATAAGAAATTATGTAAAATAAAATTAAAAAATTGAGAAATTACTTTCTCAATTCAAATTAAAACGGTGAAACTTTTCAATTGCAAAACATGAGAAATTTCTCAAAACTACTAAAATTCCTCCAATTCACAATTTTTCTCAATTGACAAGAAAAAAATGGGTCAAACACCACTCAATAACTCTCCAGTATGTCATCGGATGCCTTGCTAAATTTATCCTATGAGTAAAGATTGTTAGATTTGAGCTTGTCAGTTATCAAGAACCTGTGGCGACACATGTATGGGCTTTTCTTGGTGTTGCACATGTAGGCTCTTGTATGGGGTTAGTGATGAAAACAATTGGATGGAAATTATGTAAAATAAAATTAAAAAATTGAGAAATTACTTTCTCAATTCAAATTAAAACGGTGAAACTTTTCAATTGCAAAACATGAGAAATTTCTCAAAACTACTAACATTCCTCCAATTCACAATTTTTCTCAATTGACAAGAAAAAAATGGGTCAAACACCACTCAATAACTCTCCAGTATGTCATCGGATGCCTTGCTAAATCCATCCTATGAGTAAAGATTGTTAGATTTGAGCTTGTTCAGTTATCAAGAACCTGTGGCGACGCATGTATGGGCTTTTCTTGGTGTTGCACATGTAGGCTCTTGTATGGGGTTAGTGATGAAAACAACTGGATGGCAATATATGATATGCATTGACTACCTCAATTTGTTTAGGATATGATGGCAAAGGTATTCAATATGGTAGTTTACCTGAAAAACACAGCTTTCGTGATATGGACATCATGACAACATAATGTACTAGTTGTGCAGCAGACGATAAGCATCAGCAACTAACTCAATTCATTTTAGGACAAGATGGGAAAGTTATTCAATGTGCTAGTTCATCATAACAACACAAATCTTGCAAACCTTGCAAGATTCCAATTATCGTAGACAACTAGCAAGCTTGTTAGTGACTAAGGGTTGTTTGGTGCATGTTATCTAAGCTGCTTATATCTTTTGGTACAACTTCTGCTTACAACTAATAAGGTAGAAATAACTTGAATAAGCTAAAAAAAGTTGATTATCTAGAAGTTGAGAGAAGGGTGCTTTTGACTTCCTGCTTTCTAATTATCACCTTTTAACTTATAATAAACTACACCAAACGGGCCCTAAGGATTTTAATAGGTGAGGGAGTGCCTTTTTTCAACTTGGAATGAAGGGACCAAAACAAGGTAATACACGATATACCAATGAGTATTTTGGTCATTTGGTTACACTTGGGACTTCACAAAGCTAAAAACTTGAGGTGAAACTTAGGCCTCATTTGGGAACTTAACTATTTTAGTTAACTTTTTAGCTAAAAAAAAAAAAAAATTTGAGTTTGGAATTTTTATTTATTTATTATTATTTTTTTTTTGTAGTTGAATAGATGATTGTGAGAGAAAAATTGATTGATTGATGTGTAGGATGTAACATTTTGTCTAATTGACTATTTTAATTTTTTTTTTCTGTATTGGCTATTTTAGCCAAAAAAGTTGTTCCCAAATAGGGCCTTAATGTTATATAAGTACATTATATAAGACCTTCGCTTAAAATCCGAAAAAACATTAAAAAATATCAATATTCACAGTTCTGTTTTTCTCCTTTAACCTGTCACGTGATGAGTTTGAATACCATTACTAGAAAAAATAGTACCTATAAGATAAAGTGCAATACGGGCCATTCCATGTACCATATTGCTTTGTTATATAAAATGGCAACATTGGCGGCCAAAGGGTGGCGAGAGCAAGACAAGCTAGAATGAAATCTATGCCTTTATGCCTTTATGTTGGGTGTCCTTTATATCCTCGCCTATTTTTTGTGTCCAAGCTAGAATGAAATCTATGCCTTTATGTTGGGTGTCCTTTATTTCTCCTGGTTATCAAACGAAGACATGTCTTGTTGTCTGCATCTACTTTTCTAACTCAAGAACACATTCTGCTAAAGGGGGCCCTCTTCCTTAGTAGTCATTTCTGTTAGCAATGGACTACCTTCTTGAGATTGTTAGCAGTCTCGTCATCCCTTTTCTTGACCCGCACGATGTCGTCAAATAAAAGGAAATGTCTTGTCTTTCCATTCCCCATTGAGGGCTTGAACCATGGAATTGGATAACAAAACTTTTCTTAGAAATTGTTTTTCTTCTTCCTAAGCCTACGCTGCAAGGTGAGACAAAAGAGAAAAAATTAGGAAGGCCTTCTTATTTTGAGGACAATGCGAAGTAATAAAGAGCTTGCTAGTGAAGGTCTCAGAGCAAGGAGAGTAGAACAATCAACAAAAGAGAAGAGAAGAGGTCCATGATCAAAGATGCGAGAGGTGAATCAGTAACCACTCATGCCACAACTAATGCTAATGAATCCTCCTACAATAACAAGGCAAGTTAAAAAGAAGAAATACCGATCAGTCAGAGTACTTCCCTGATAGAGCAGGTAGAGCACTAGCTAAACTAAACATTAGAGGTCATTTTGCTCCCTTCACTTCTGTTTCAAAGTTAAGGACAAGCACCCCTACCGACCAACTCCCAACTCATGGAGATCACGCCGCCTGAATCATCATCCGAAAACTAAAACATGCCAACAGCATTCCATTCATTTATGCAATATTTACTCATTTATTTGTTAGTTACCGCTATTCCACACCCTTGCTTTCAAGAAATCTAAGGAAAGAACATAATAAGTGGTGAACAATGTTTACTCGCTCCTTAGAGGAAATAAAAATTGCCTCTACCGCTAAGAGAGGAAGTGAATAATTGGCTCGAAGAGGGAAGAGATGCGCCTATTTGCTTTGCTAGAAAGTTAAGTGACTAGTT